CCTGGGTGTTCATCTGAACCACAAACTGGACTGGACTCATAACACAGACGCCCTCTTCAAGAAGGGCCAGAGCCGGCTCTACCTGCTGAGGAGGCTCAGGTCTTTTGGAGTGCAGGGGCCACTCTTGAAGACCTTCTATGACTCTGTGGTGGCATCAGCCATCTTGTACGGTGTGGTCTGCTGGAACAGCAGTATCACAGAGAGGGACAGGAAGAAGCTGGACAAGGTCATCAGGAAGTCCAGCTCAGTCCTGGGCTGTTCCCTGGACACAGTGCAGCAGGTGGGGGACAGGAGGGTCCTGAGCAAACTAACATCTATGCAGGACCATGACTGTCACCCCCTGCAGGACACTATCTCTGCTCTGGAGAGCAGCTTCAGTGACAGACTAATTCACCCTCGATGTGTGAAGGAGAGGTTTCGCAGGTCTTTCCTTCCTGCTGCTGTCAGACTGTACAACGAGAATGTGTAACAGGAACTGCTGAGTCTGCACAAGTGTTTCTATTTAATTCACTAGTAACTTTGTCACTAGTCACTTTACCTGTTATCAGTACTACTACAGTACTACATATCTGATATTTACTGTTATCAGTACTACTGTATTATTTTAACCTGGCAAGAGCCAGATTGATGATTGTGTAGAACTCTAACGCGTTCTCCGCGATATCAATCTGGGATTTCTCCCGGAGAATCCTTTCGGGGAAAGGAGGGGTAAGCAGCAGAATACTTCAAGCTGATTGGGCGAAGTGACGCTGTGTGGCCGCCTACACTCTTGCCAAAACCCGTAGGTAAAAATGCACAAACATCTTTGCCGTCCAGAAATGCACAAAGCGCCTCTCACTGTTCATCTTTCAAAAAAGAAATTGGAGATTCTGCTAAAACTGACTTGATAGCCTCAGCTACGCGTCCGTCCTCCTGCGTAGCCATGTTTGTTTTGCTTCGGCCCGGCACTTCTTGCTTTCGTCAAACCCGGATATCCCGCCCTAAACCCCCAGACTGGCGCGTGATTGGCTCGCACACCCAGTGGTTCGACTCGAAAAGTGTAAGCGGGAGCAGTACAAGATGTATTCTCGAGTGTTTGTGAACTCACAAATACCGCGAGAATTCAGCTTGCAGGCAAGGTTAGTATTATTTCATATCTGATAATTCTGCCTTTCACCGTCACTTTACCTGTTGATATCTTACTGTATTATTCATATCCATCTGATAATTCTCCCATTCAAGTCACTTTACCTGTTGATATTATTTCTGATGTTTATTCTGCTCATATTCATATTCTCCGCTGCTAATGTATAATATAGACATCTGTAAATACTCCGAACCAAGTGCAATTATAGCCCAGAGTTTCTTATTTTATTTTATCTTAAATTTATTGTCTATTATCTTAAATAATAGACTTTGATGTGTGCAATCTGAGTGCTCTTATTTCCTTTCTCTGCTGTAATGTGCAACGATGACACTAAAATTTCTCCACTGTGAGACTAATAAAGGTTTATCTTATCTCTCTCTTATCTTATCTTCTAGTTTATGTAAATATACACTGAAATAATGTATGTCATTCCTATTTCACTCTGCATCCTTTGAAGTTTGGGAAAAAAAACATGTTTTTTTAAGCCTTGCCTAAAAAATTCAATGTATAAATGCCCTAAAAAAGCCTACTTCATTGGAAGAAGAACATTTTCAACGCCAATTTGTTCATTGTGTTGTTGACAACAACTGTGTAAAGTTTCAGACTTCTAAGACTTCTTCTTTATAGTTTTTATGCAGTTTCTCTTTTTTATCAAGAGGTGCCAACAAAACCAATTTGGCAAAATTTGTGCCAAATTGTGCCAAACTGCTTTACTAACATTTCACCATCATAAAAAGCATATTTTTTAGTTTTGGTACTATGCATATAAAATATGCGCAGCAGTACTAACAGCGTCTTTACGCATGCTTTTACTGTGAAAATGAAAAGAGTTCCTACAAGTCCCACCCATCAAAAGAAAGCTCTTTTTATTGGCTACTTAGACACGTCAATCATTAAGTGCTAGCACATAGTACTAGCCATGCTAATCTAATACAAGTCAAAACGGACCCTGTGCAAATGGATGCGGTTCGTCTTTTTCACAAGGGTCCTGCGGACTGAAAACGGCTCTTATCTTTTCATGGAACCCCTCTTTTTGAAGCTAAGGACTCAAAGAACACGTGGATATGATGTTTGTGGGGGTAAACAAAGCTCAAACTTGGTGAAATGTGAAAGAGAAGCCTGAACATCTTTCGGAGCGTTTTTTTTTTGCAACAGAAAATGCACAATTTTTGATTATTTCTGAAGAATGGATTATACTTTGGGAAATACAAGTGGATATTCTTTTTCAATGAAGACTTACGGAGAGAAAGAGACTGAGCAAGGATGGGGAAAGTCTAATTTGTTGGAGCAGCAGAAGACGAAAGGTAAAAAACGTTTACAAACGTGATTTATTTTGTGCCCATATTATGCGTTATATCTTTTTAATGCAAAGTCTGATATCGTTTACACTTACATATAAATATAGCTGAGAAAATAAGCTTCAAAATGACATATAGCTTATATATATATTTTTTTTCTCGTTTGCGGTTAACCCAGACCAGCAGGTGGAAGGTAAAGTTTTTCAAAACAGACTTAACAAAGAAATCAAATCTGCTCAGAGGACGGATAGGATGAAATGGAAAGGTTTTTTCAAAACAGCAAAGCTAAGGACGCCTGGCGGGGTGTTAAAACTCTGGCTGCAAGTCTGACCAGTGTGATTACTGTGAAGGTAGAGAGGAGCTTTTTGGTGAACTGTCCTCCATGATCCTCTCCACTGCTGACCTTAAGCTCACTTTCTAGGACAATACCGAACTCATCTTCTATAAATGTCAACAGCGCCTATTCTTTCTTTGTGAACTCTGTAAATTTCTATCCACCCATCATTTTCTTCCGCTTCATCTGTTGCCGGGTCGCAGGGTCAGCAGTCTAAGCAGAGATGCCCAAGACTTTCTTATCCACACACACTTTCCCCAGCTCATCCGGGGGGCGTCCTGGGTCTTCCCCAGGGTCTCCACGCGGTGGGACATGCCCGGAACACCTCCCCAGGGAGGCGTCCAGGAGGCATCCGCAACAGATGCCAAAGCCACCTCAACTGGTTCCTCTTGATGAGGAGAAGCAGCGGCTCTACTCCAAGCTCCTGCGTGACTGAGCTCCTCACAATATCTCTAAGGAAGCACCCAGCAACTCTACGGAGGAAGCTAATTTTGGCCGCATGTATCCTCAATCTTGTCCTTTCGGTCATTACCCAAAGACCTTAGGTGAGGGAGGGAACGAAGATTGACCAATAAATTGAGAGCTTTGCCCTTCGGCTGAGCTCCCTCTTCATCACAACGGTTTGATGCAGCAACCGCATCACTGCGCACGCTGCACCGATCCGCCTGCGCGAATCTTGCGCTCCATTCTTCCCTCACTCTTGAACAAAACCCAGAGATTCTTGAACTCCTCCACTTGAGGAAGGACCTCTCCACCCACCTGGAGAGGGCAAGGCACCTTTCTCCGGTCGAGCACCATTGTCTTGGATTTGGGGGTGCTGATTCTCAACCCAGCTAATTCACACTCGGCTGCAAACTGTCCCAGTGCATGGACAACATTGTCCGTAAAAAGCAGAGATGAAATCCTGTGGTCCCCGAACAGGTCCTCCTCCGGCCCCCGGCTGTGCCTAGAAATTCTGTCCATAAATACAGTGAACAGAACCGGTGACAAAGGGCAGCCTTGGCGGAGGCCAACGTGCACAACATACAAAAGGTCTGACTTACTGCCGGCGATGCGAACGCAGCTCTTGCTCCAGTCAAACGGGGACTGGACGGCCCTCATCAGAGGACCCCGGACCCTGGAAGTTTTCCTTCCACCACCCAACAATATCCCATTGAGGTCACCTCTCCCCACGAGAGGTGGTGAGCAGCGTCCCCAGAGCCCAATCTCTGTCGGGGCTCCAGGGTGGGGCCCCGACTGCGCCATCCAGGGTGACCTCACAGTTCTCCTTATTGTGCTTTCCATGTTGTGCTTTGGACTGCGCTTTGTCTGACTCATCACCCAAGATCTGTTTGACATTGGAGGCCCTACCAGGGGCATGAAGCCCCAGACAACATAGCTCCCAGGATCATTCGAGTACTCAAACTCCCTCACCACAGTAAGGTGGCAATGTAGGGGGGGAGCTCTGTAAACTTCAGGTTCACAAATCCATTCTCTCAGTTTTTTACAAATGCTACATAGAATCAATTCTCATTTTCAATTTTGCATCTTGGTTTGGTTCACTCAGTCTCACACATCGGAATTCACTCAATAAGATCATTAAAATCAGCAGCAGACTCATCGGACATCAGCAAGACTCACTCACAGCCATTCATCATAACAAAGTTTTTGGAAAGCCTGCCAGATCTCCACAGACAGCTCACTCATTCTGCACACACACTACAGTCTGCTCCCATCAGGGCTTCCTCCCCACCTCAATTTGCCTTTTTAACAGCTGATTTGGAGATCTGTTTTATTTGTTTTATGTTGAATTTCTTCACTTTTATTGTATGCTGCTGATGCTGATGCGCCGTCTGTAAATGAAATTCGCTACAGATGAATCACGTTATTTGAAGATTTTTCATTCTGTATAATGTGTTGCACTATAGGAAAAGCTCAACCAAGGACAGGAGTTGAAAATTACCATTAGATACACACTCTATATGTATCGCATCTGTTGCATCGTTCCTGCTTTAACCATGTATGACTACAATTGTCCCTGTCAAATAAATAAATGAATACATAATTTGAATTGAATTTGAGATTTGTGATTGGATAAACAGTATAAATGGTGTGCACCCATTAGACTCGAATTTGTGGCTTATTTCAATAGGCCCGCATGAAAGTTCCCATGATATAAGATGGAGACTCACTCCATCATAGGCATTTACACTGATCATAGGCATTTATAGAAACAGTGTTTCTCCCATCAGGGCTGCCAAACCTTAAGGTCAAAGTGTGCAATCTTGCGCATGTGCAGGTAGTGGACCCCCTCCAGGATCTGTCTGATGAACTGAGTGGCCTCCTCTTCACTGAGAGACTCTTTCTGAGCCAGAAAGTCAAACAGCTCTCCCCCAGAAACTCTGGACACAGATTAGACACAGATTAGATCAAATAAACACAAATTAGAACCTGTAAACCCTGAGCAAAGATTGGAACATGGTGGGTTTGACTACTGTTGCACAGATAGATTTTTTTTTAACTTAGTTGCAGACCTATGAATACATGAGGGGCAACAGAGAGGGGGGTCTGCCTGAGGTAATCACAGGCCAGATGAGAGAACCGGTCCTCTTAGAGACAGTCCTCCAGGGACATGGTCCTCCCAGAAACACCCCCCTCTAAGACACGTACCCCAGAATGTGTTATTTATGAGACTAAAGTTATTACACCAGCTTCATATTTGTTATTTATTATTAGTGTCCCTCACAGTTCCAGGATCAGCACTACGTCGGTCCGGTTCTCGTACACGTTGTGCAGAGTGACGATGTTCTGGTGCTGGACCTGCCGCAGAATGGACACCTCCCTCTCAATGTCATCCCGCCGCACGCCGCGGGAGCTGCCCAGAGACTGCCGCTTCTTTATAAATTTAGCGGCGAAGGACTGGTCTCTGTGGCGCTCCACACACCGCTTCACGATGGCAAACTGACCGCTGAGACCAAGAAAAGACAAGGGTTTCAGAGGAATACTTTGATATCTACGCATGTAGGCCATAAGACAAACATATACAAACATACATATATATATATATATATATATATATATATATATATATATATATATATATATAAAAATACACACACACTGTGCTCTTCCAGTGAGTGTGTTTTTGACTGATTATCCCTCTGCTCTCTGTACGCATCACCTTTGACAATCTACAACAAACTAACTTTGAATCGTCTGTATTGTAGCTGAGATTTGGGTGTCAGTTGTTTGGCTGGTCTCAAGGTCCGCTCATACGGGACCCGGGTCCGGGCTGACCGCTGCATCTGAACTAAAACTACAGTATATAAATTTGATTCACCTCCGCATCACTAGTTTCAACCTTTGTTACCAACTCAAACCTCAAGTCAGTGTTGACTGACTTGATCCAATTTATATCGTATATCCACAATATATCGTGGATATATCGTTAGAGAGTTGCTGAGAGAGCCGATGGAGTCGCTGATGCGCTGGTAATTGGCTTCTCTATTGTTAGAGGTGTTAAGATACCAGGAGCTACTGTTCGGTGCTTCCCTGGGGCCAGGCTTGGTGATATTGAAGGGAATCTGAGGCTCCTGATGACCCACAACCAGCGTTTTTGCCGAATCGTTATTCATGTGGGTGGCAGTGATGTTCGGCGGAAACAGTCCGAGGTGTTGAAGCTGCAAGTCGCCACCGTATGCAAGCTGGCTAGCACAATTCGACACTGTCATCTTCTCTGGGGCCCAACCAAGCACTAGCAGTGCAGAAGCATTTAGCAGACACTCGGCTTTACACCGCTGGCTGTCTGGCTGGTGACCTCAACATGGTGTTGTCTATGTTGACAATTGGAGTGCCTTGTGGGGAAAGCCCGGTCTCATCCGCTCAAATTATATCGACCCAACGTTGGCGAGTGCATCCCTATTGGCTAAGAATATCATCCACTCGGATGATATCCACCCAACATTGATGGGTACATCCCATTTGGCTAAGAATCTGGCACTGGCTCTAAATTCTTCTGGCCAGCTCAAATGACGGTCCAGAAAAGAGGCCCGGGTGCACAACCTCCGAGCTCCCATCTGTTCAGTTACTCGCCTCAGAACCTAGACAGATTTATACTATGTGTGTGCCTCACTTGAAGTCTAAAATACTGATTGCAAGAAAATCTGACCTGGGTGTCAGACACAATATCTTAATAAAAGTTCAGATTAGATTTTTTTTCTTCTAAAAGTAGGATTGTTAAATGCAAATTAGCAGATTAGCAGATTAATCTTGTCTAAATCACTTCTATACACAAAATTATTAAATACAGCGATTTGAATTTACTTGCACTCTCGGAGACTTGCCTCCAACAAGATGACATCAGAGGAGTGCACTCACTCAGATTGAATGAGTGCACTCCTCTGACGCATGTTAACTACCAGAAAGCGAGAGCTACAGGTCGAGGTGTTGCGATCATATCAACTTACTTCTAAGTCCTAAATCCAACAATGCTTTTTGTTCGTTTGAAGCTGTGTTATTCATAGTTTTATACCGACCTCCTGGTCCTAACAGAATTCGCTGACTTCATTTCAAACCTAGTTTTGGAATAGGAAAACATACTGCAATTATAACTGGAGACTTCAATATAAATTTGGATGACAGCACCGATAGCTTAAACAAAGCTTTCAACGCCGTATTAGACAGTGTTGGTGTGTTACACATAATATTGAGGAACCTGCTCACATTTATATCCACACTTTGGACCTTGTCGTGACTGACTTATAGCAGCTCCTATAAAGCATATAACAATTAGGATTAGATCATTACTTTGGTACAATATCCAACTGAATACTCTAAAACAGAACGTTAGAAAACTGGAGAAGCTATGTCGTCACTCCCACTCGGAGCCTGTCCACAGGGAGTGGAGAGCAGGTCTCCAAAAATACAAGAATGCCCTTCGCAGGGCTAAAAATCATTACTGCTCAACTTTAATAGAAGTGAATAAAAACAACAGTAGATTTTTGTTTAGGACCGTCACTAAACTCACAAACTGCCATAGCCCAATCGTGCCGAAAATACCAAACTCACTGAGCAGTGTCGACTTTCTTCACTTAAGTTAATAATAGAATTACATCCATCTGTGACAAACTGGAGGAAACCACTCTTAGTGTTGGTGATAGACAGGCTGAAGCGGTGTCCCACTTGGACTCTTCAGTGGGCCTCGTTCAAGTTCATGGCTGTGAGCCAAGTGGAAGTGATCTCTGTGGTCACATCTTCTAAAGCCTCAACTTGAATTTTAGATGCAATCCTGGCTTGGTTCTTCAAAGACACACTTCCTTTGACAACAGAGCCTATCTTAAATAATAAACACATCTATACAATGTGGCTATAGCCCTATTCAGAGGGGATTAGTATTACCTGTGGACCTCTGGTAATTTGTGATTATCACGGAGGACAGCTGAAATCTTAGTCCCGTGCGAATGCGCCATGTCTGTAATTTGTAAAGTAATAATTCCTCCATCCATTTTCTTCCCCTTAATCCATTTCTTGGTCGGTGGGGGTGGCAGTCAGAGCTGCACCCAGTTCACAGAGCACCAGCCCTTCTCTGATCCTCCTGCAGGTGGTGAGTCCACAGGAGACTTAATCTTTCAGCGGGGGCTTCAGGCAAAGTGGGGTTAAGTGTCTTGCCCAAGGACACAAAGACAGCAGACATCCGTGGGAGGTTGAACCCACAACCTTCAGGCCCAAAGGCCAATGCTCTACCAACTGAGCCATTGTCGTAAAGTAATAATTCCGCTGCAAATTACCTCCTGTATTTGACATACACAGACGTCCTCTGATTATACTAATTCCGTGTGAATCTGCATGTCAGTGATTGTGCCGCTTTCGCTTTACTTTCTGCATTATTTTTTGTCAATGAGCAGAAGAGTCTCTGTGAGGTCTATGGAGAAGTGTAGAGGACAGTGTAATGTGTTCACTGACACTCAATGATCAGACTGATGGGTTGCGTTCGTACGTTTACTTCGGACTCTGTCCAAATACAGTACAGATATGTTAGCCGTTACTGGGCCTTTACTGCTTGTCGGCTCGCGCGTATGTTAGAGTATTTGGTGCGTTCATGGGTAAATAGTAGTAAGTAGTAGTAGTAAGTAAGCTTTATTTATATACCGCCTTTCACAGACCAGAGTCACAAAGCGGTTTACAATTGTTATTTTTTGGGCACTAGTCCTCTCACTCCACACAGAGATGGGAGGGGGGTCGCCGAACAGGAGGCGCATGCCAGACCTATTGTACATATTTTTAGTGGTAGGGGAAACCGGAGTACCCGGAGGAAACCTACGCAGGCACGGGGAGAACATGCAAACTCCACTCAGAAAGGCCCTGGTCCGGCCGGGATTCGAACTCAGGACCTTCTTGCTGAGAGGCGAGAGTGCTATCCACTCAGCCACCGTGCCGCCTTAGTATTGTTAAACATTACAAACAGTACGGGCCATAGAACCGTAGAGCAGTAAAATCCACATTTATGTGTTTGTCCTCATAGTCTCTGTGGCTGCTGTGGTCAGACACGAGACTCGATGAACTGCGTGAAGCAGAAAGACCCGCGCACATGCGGGCCGTTATGTGAGATTTCAGTGAAAAGATAGTATTTTACAGACATTGCTTATGTAACGGCTGCAAACTCGTCCACGAGCCGTATACGAACAACAGGACACAGTGTGGAGTCAACTACTTTACTCGGACCTGTGACAGACCAAAAATATACATTTTTAGTCACAGCGGACACACTGGCTCCCCCCTCTAAAGCATACAACGCGGCTTTGAGAGAGAAAGTTGAGTACCAGAGTATAGCACAGGGGAGCAGCGTGCACTTCCTGGAATTTCAAAATAAAACGTCATAATAATGAAATTCACACAAAATTACATTTTAAAATACAGCTAGGAATTGTAAACAAAAAATATAAAGTGCATTTCTATATTCGTTATATCCACCCCACTGAATTTTAACAATTTTGAGCCACTGGTACACGGAATAACCCTTCAAGGACACAACAATATAAAAACACCAAGGGGGTTACCCAAAGAAAAACCAACTCAAAAGCATCCCGGGAGGATGAAGTGGAATGAGGTGGGATCCAAAACCTCAACCCAGCTACTGGCAGTAGGTTGCCTTCTACACCCCACAAAACCCCATACTCATAAAAAAACAATCAGCTCAAATTATGACAGTGGGACAATCAAAACAAAAAAATCCACACAGCCAAAATTGTGAGAACAATCAGGTATGCTTTACTCTAACCAGTAAAGAGTCTGAAATACAGTTCTGCAAACATCCTTGACATTGAAGGTGTCCGGAACAAAATCCTGGCGAGACATGTTCTGTATAAGTCTGTTCACAGGTTTAACTAAACGGCCGAGCCTAGTGCGCATCTGGGGATGACCAACAGGGGCAGTCACAGGTGGGTCAACAGTTGGTTCAGTAAGAACAGTCTTATTATCAAAACTAGAGCTAGACAGTCCAGTTCCAGCATTAGAGACAGAGCCAGTCACACGTGATGAGTCACAGTCAGCTTGACTCGGGCTGTCAAGCGGCAACAGGCCAGCGACATGGGAAACAGAAGCAACTGGCAAGACGTCAGAGATGTCTGCTTGTGTTGAGTCTGGGCTCGTCAACTGTGTAACCCACTCTACAGTCCGTATCTCAGAGTCCGCCAGCTCAGATGGGTCTCGGACAGGCTCATGTTCGCTCTCACAATCCAGTTCAGTTCCATCCATACTCCGAACAGAGCAACCACTGGGAAGTGTTGAATCCATGTCCGAGGTGTCACATAACTCAAAAGGGAGGACGTTGACAGGCAACAAAAGGTTCTGTGGACAATCCTTACTTTCCGCCCAGAAGACACTGGAGATGATTGTGGACTTCAGGAAGAGCACATCCCCCCCGCCCTCCCTGATGGACTCCCCCATCACCTCTGTAGAGTCCTCTCGTTT